AACATTATTAGCTCGTGCAGTTGCAAGTCAACTTGATTGTAATTTTTTAAAAGTTGTATCTAGTGCAATTGTTGATAAATATATTGGAGAAAGTGCTCGTATGATTCGAGAAATGTTCGCTTATGCTAAAGATCATCAACCATGTATTATATTTATGGATGAAATTGATGCTATTGGTGGACGTCGATTTTCAGAAGGTACATCAGCTGATCGAGAAATTCAACGTACATTGATGGAAGTTAGTTTGTTTTATTTAATTTTACAAAGAATTGAACAAAAAATATTTCATTCTTTAGCTTCTTAATCAAATGGATGGATTTGATACATTAGGTAAAGTAAAAATAATTATGGCAACAAATCGTCCTGATACACTTGATCCAGCACTTATGCGACCTGGTCGACTTGATAGAAAAATTGGTATAAATTAAAAAAAAGCGAAATTAATTTTATTCTTACAATATTTTTATTTATATAGAAATTCCATTACCAAATGAACAGGCTCGTCTTGATATTATTAAAATTCACGCAGCACCAATTGCTAAACGAGGAGATATTGGTAAGAGATTCATTTAATCAAGTATATACGTATATAGATTACGGTTTTTTGTTTAGATTATGAAGCTATTGTGAAATTGAGTGATGGCTTTAATGGTGCTGATATGCGAAATGTATGTACTGAAGCTGGAATGTTTGCAATACGTGCTGAACGAGACTATGTTCAAGAAGATGATTTTTCGAAAGCAGTACGCAAAGTTGCTGAAAGCAAGAAATTGGAATCGAAATTTGATTATAAAGCGCAAGCAACATAGAAAATTTTTTCTTATCTTTTTTAATTCACTTATTTGTGTTTGAAATTGTTCTCTTTAAAAAAGAAAATAAACAGAAATTTAAAATCTATTTTCATTCAATCAATTCATTCATAAAGGACGATTGGTTGTAAGTAAAACATATGGATTTATATATCGTTGCCCTGGACGTCGGTCAATTAATAATTGCTTCTTTTTTCTTGCCCTCGTACATAGAAAAATAGAAAGAACATATCATGTGTACTGTCTACGTTAATATCTGGTTGGTTGAAAATAACGGTCGACAATAGGACGTGCATAAAATCACGAGGGGAGGAGGTCATTGAGCGGTCACGAGTGGTGCACGACGTCCTTTTCGCCTTTTCTTCACTGAACAATCCTATTTTCTCTTTCATTCTCTCTTCTAGTAAGTTCAGACGTACATACATACATATACATAATAAACCATAATAAAATCAACTAGTAACTACATTTCAAAATGCCATCGCACAAGACTCCACGCTACTGCTTATACCGTCAATTTGTTGATGCTTATATGAAAGGACATCCAGATATGACTCGATGTGTAGGTTCAAATTCTGATTTTTCTATTTTAATGATCGATTATTCTTATCTTTAGCTATCTCATACAGCTGCTCAAGCTGAATGGAATGACATAAAAACTAATGAAGTTACTGTAAAAGAAAAAATTGACGAATATCTTGCAAAATTCAATTCAAGTAGTGCCTGTGGTTTAGATCGTGTTGAAATCGAACAACCAAAAAAGACACGAGGACGAAAGAAAAAAGCGGAACCAAATGTTGAACGAGAAAGTCTTGGTCGCGTGGCTAAACGTCGTAAAAAACGTGCACCTTCATCAGAGATTGAAAATGAAATAATTAATGAAAATGAAAAACAACAGCAACAACAATCCGAAGAAGAAGAAGAAGATGAAGACGAAGGTGAAAAAACAGTAGCTGAAGAAGAACCAGTAGCAGCAAAAAAGAAACCAGGAAAAATTCGTACAGCTGCTGAAATTCTTGCTAAAAAGACTCGAGCACCAGCACAAGAAAAAGTATCAAAAGAAATTTATGAAATCAATGAACGTATTATACAATTAGTTCAAGTTAAAAATATGGGTATGGCAACTGCTGAACAAGAAAAACAATTGAAAAAACTTTTAGTTGAACAAAAGAAAAAATCAAATGATTTAAAAAGACTTAAAGCTGAACAATCAGCTAAAAAACGTGCTCGTGAAATAAAAAAAGTAAAATAGAGAAATAATATTAATTTAAGATTAAATCATATTTATATTATTTTTAGCGTAAAATTGAAGCTTTATGTGAAAAAAATCCTGAACTTGCAGCTGAATTAAATAAAATCTATCGGCCAGTTATTGGTCGACCACCCATTGAAGAAGAATGTCCAGATTTATTACAAATTATTGAAGAAATTGCTAAAGTTGGTGGTGCTGCTGATGATAATCGACGTTCTGCAACAATTCGACCATGTTTAACATTAGATGATTTACGAGAAAAAATTAAAGAACGTGGTTATGATATTAAACGATCAACACTTTATTATAGATTATTACCACATCGTTCGAATTCAATTGATGGTAAAAAACATGTTCGAACAGTTCCTGTACGTCTTCGTAAAGCTCAAAATGATGAACATAGCAAACATGAAGGTATTTGACTTTATTTTATCAAAATAAATAAATATGTTTATCTTTCTTTTCATTAGATGGACATTTTGCAACAGCAACAATTCGCTATATAAAAGATTTAGCTGGTATATTTGGTAATGATGTTGTATTTTTCTTATCACAAGATGATAAATGTAAAGTACCAATTGGCTTACCCGCTGCTAAAATACAAGCACCAATGCTTATGCATTTGGATTATCGTGTTCGTTTACCGGATCACGACTGGACTGTTGCACCACGTCATCAATTGACACCTAGGTAAATAGTTTATATAAAAAAGAAATTAAATTCAATATTATTTTAATAGTGTTTATGCTGCTTGTATGATGACTGAGAATAATGATGTGGGTTATTCCGGTCCAACTTATATTGCTATTCGTTCAGCTAAACATGATCGTAGTGATGCCAATAGTCATGCATGTGATTTTGATACTCTTGTTGGACTTAAAGAATTTGAAAAATCAGCACGTGATTATACAGGTCAAGTTAAACCAATTGTTATTATAACAGTTGATGGTGGTCCAGATGAAAATCCACGTTTTCCAAAAACACTTGTTGCTGCAATAAGAAAATTTCGTAAATATAATATGGATGCTCTATTTGTTCTTACACATGCACCAGGTCAATCAGCTTATAATGTTGTTGAACGACGTATGGCACCACTTTCTCATGATTTAGCTGGTCTCATCTTACCACATGATCATTTTGGTACACATTTAAATGATTCAGGTGTAACCGTAAATCCTGATTTAGAACGAACAAATTTTAAAAAAGCTGGAGAAGTTTTAGCTGAAGTTTGGTGTGGATCAATTATTGATGAATATCCTGTTGTAGCTGAATATATTGATCCACCTGCATCTTCTCAAGATGAATTACGTGTCATTGATGTTAATATTATTATGAATTATGTTTTAGATCGGTAAAAATAGTTTCTATTATTATTTTTGTTTTGACCATAATTCTTATTTTTTAGTGTTTGTTATGATGAAGAATGTGAAGAACCAGTTGAACGTCGAATTCGACAACGTGATGAATATTATCAAGAAAGAGTTCGTCCTCCACGTATTACATCCGAAGGAGATTTATTACGCGATACACCCAAATATGATATTGATGAATATTGGTGTGCAACACATGTTCTTCAAACACAATATACAATTCAAATAATTCGTTGTAATTCAATATCATGTTGTGGTCCATGGCGTTCAAATTATATTCAAGTATTTCCACATCGTTTTCTTCCAGCACCAGTTGCATTTGAACGTACACCACGTGGTATTGCCATGGCTGAACGTGATTATCAAAAAGGTGTTTTTTATGGTTCATTAATTCAACGTATACAATTTCATGGTGTTGTTATGCAAAATACACAAAATGATATAATACCATTTGATTATTGTTGTGCAAGTGTACGAAAAGAATTAAAACGACGTGTTTGTTCAATTTGTAAACAATATATTCCATCAGCTTATCGAATGAAAAATCATTATAAAATTCATCAACAACAATATGCATCGAATTGTCTTGATTATGATGATGAAATGTATCCAGATGAAACTGGAATGGGTAATGAACGTGATGGAGAAGATGATGCACTTAGTAGTCAACGACCATTACCATCTGTATCAGATCCATCATCAAATGGTGTTGTCATTTTTTCGGATATGCTTGATTGGTTAAAATCTGATTTTGAAGAACTTGAACTTAAAGAACAAGCACTTAAAAATGTTGATAGAAAGAAACAGATAAATTAATGAAAGATTATTTAGAATTTATTTGTATCATTGTAGTTTATAATGAATTTCATGTATCGCATATTTAGGTTTTTGTTTTTTTTCTTCTTATATTAATTTTAGTCTTTTTTTTTTCATTGGAAAAATATATGTAAACTATTGATATTCAATTATAGAACATTGAATCTAAATTCTGTTAAATGTATTGTTGTTGTTGTTTTTTTGTGGAACAAAAAAATTTGTTTTTCAATGTTAGATTGTAATAAATTTTGAAGTCACAAATGAAAAATTTGTAGTCATTTTCTCAGATTCAATAATTCACTCAACTATTTCATCATACGCTATTAGTTCGATCTTACACGATTAGTCATTGTAAACTGCAATCAATTTGACAAAAGATTAGAATATCTTAAGACATGCATTAAACATAAACCGCCTAGGCCTAATGTCAACATCTGGTCCAATCTCCCAAACAGTTTGGATTTGATGCATGTCTATGTAAAAATTAGAATAGACATTACATGAATATCATTCGTATATTTTGACATACTATAGTTCATATTATGATTCGGGTACTATCGAGGTCATTTGATATGATTCACGTTTAATTCTAGGGTTTATGTTTATATAGATACATAAAATTTAAATGTAGATTTTTCTTTACTCCTATTTGTTATCGTATGTATCGTATATGTTCGTTACAAATTTTGTTTTTCTTCTTTAGAACATTTGACTATCGTATTAATTCTATTATTATAAGAAAAATAATTTTGAATGGGTTGTAAACATTCATCTTCACCACCTGAATCACCAATAAAACCAATTCAAAATGGTGGTCCAATTGTATTAAAAAGTAAAATATCAATTCAACGTGCACAAATTATTGATCATCAAACATCAAATGGTATTAAATCGTTATCATCATCTGCCTTATCAATTTCTGCAAAGAAAAAAGTAAAGATTAATAAACAAATTTTATTTTTACTATTATTATATTAAATTTTAGACATGTCTTTCATTATCATCCTTACCATTACCATTTACAGTATTATGTCTTGAAAAAACACTTGATGGTCATGATCATTATTTGATGAAACGATTTCAACTTGATACACCTTGTTTTTTACTTGATGTTTCTCGAACACATATTCTTTTAGTTGATGGTAGACAACTACGTTTAATTAATATGGAAACAAAAGATATTGAAACATGTATTATACCACTTAATTGTGGAGATATTCAAGATATTTCTTGGTCATCAAAATTAAATGCATTTCTTATACTTACAACTGATCAATTATATAAAACTGGTACTAAACAATTACAACCAATACCTATTCCTCAAATTCAGGTTATATTATTAATCAATTCATATTTTTTGTTAGAAAAAAATATAAATTCGTTTTTTTGTTTAGTTTATTATTGAAGGTCCTCGTAAATCTTATATGGCAGTTGATGGAGATGATTTAATTATAAATCGTTGTTTTGGATCTGATATTCGTCGTTATTCACTTGCCAATTTTTCTCTTGTTCAATCACCTTATGCTTATGCAAATGGAGAAAATTTATCTGTAACAAATATTCGATTGAATTCAAACAAAATTTTAGCTCTTGCTATATCTATCAATACAAAGCAAATGATTGATTTAGTTCAATTAAAAACAAATAAACTTATTCGTCGAATTAGTTTTGATTCAAATGAAAATATTTTATATCCAATTAATTTACATAATAATGGTCAATGGTTTGCTAAAACATGTATACCTTGTGTAAATATTGGTCATTGTTTAATTTCATCAGAAGGACAAATAACAAGACTTACACTTTTTCCTGATCAAGATAATTTCATACGTTCTATTTGTATGAGTCCTGATAATCGATGGTTAATTGTTAGTCGACAACATTCAATTGAACTATATCAACCTTGCTCATCATTTTTACCTTTGATGAAAGAATTAGTCGATGTTAGTAGTATTTCATTATAATGATAGTATTATTTATTTATTATATATATATATATATAAACTATATATGTGTGTGGTTTTCTTGATTTATATGTATGATTTTTTTTTAATTGTACGAGTGAAAACATAAGAAAGAAAACATGATTTAGACATCAAATATAATATTTGAGATAAATGATAGGATCAATTCAAGCTCTTCATTGTAAACAAATACTCTGACTTTTTTCTAGAATGTTTATTAAATGATCAATGCAAACATTTTTACAAAAAAAACTATATACAATCGCTTTCTCACTCATTCAGAGTAGTTTATAAAAATACAATCAAAAAAATAAAAATATATCTGATCTGAAGCCTGTAATATGTAGTCTTTTTTTAAGGCTATTTCGAATCATCTATATTTGGTAAATTTTCTTGTGGAGTTGATTCGGCTGATTTTCGTCGTTCCATTTCCGTTTCACACATCATCCGTTGAATGTTTTTAGGAAGACCTGGATTTATACTGCATATGAAAGGAATCATTGTTTTTACTGTTGATTCAAAATCAACCATACAACGGATGAACATACAATCATCACGAACGTATGGATTGTTATCTTGTTGTATGATTGGTAAAGAGCAAAACTTAGGTATTCCAGAAGCAATATTCATGCTTGATCGTGGTCGTTGAAAACTGTTTGATTTGACATCAGGACGGAATGAATCGATAATGTGTCGTTGAGCATCCGTTTGATCATAAAGGCAAAATGTAATTTTATAGGAAAAAGGCCATTGTAGTATAGCATCGTAATCTCCTCGTAGAAGTACAAAAAACAATGAGAGATGAGTTCGTCGTGCGTTACCGTCGCCATTCAAATACAATCTCATACACATTTTGTAACCTGTAGGAGATGAATAGAATGGAGGAGAGTAGATACTTGTCTGACGATCGCTAATAGCATCTTTAATCTTTTGAGCAACATCCGTAATTTTCCATATACATGTTCCATCATGTGCTGATTGATTCGTTATATCGGTCATCATTTGTTTCATATTTTCTATTTCCATTTGTAATACATTATTATTTATTTGAGTAGCATCAATAAACTGATTACTTTCTTCTACAGAGCCCTTCAATAGTTCGATTTGTTTTTGTTGTTCCAAAAGATTACATCGAATCTCTGTCATATTTTGTTGAAGTTGAACCGTATCATCGACTATACATGAGACGCCCTCAGAAAGTATATTAAGATTATCCAATAGTCCGGAAATATTTTCATCGTCGTCTGATCGTTTCGTATGTTTCTCTGGTATTGCATGTAATTGTTTGATGTATGAAGTAATCGCTTTCGTAAGACATTCTTGATGAATTTTACTCAAATAATGTTCCTCTAACTCATCACTGGATACATAACTAAGACAACCAAAATTTGCGAGAGGGCATGGTACAGTATTGTCTATTGTCAAACGTCCCCGTTTCCCTTCGTTATAAGTCTAAAATAAAGAAAAGAAATGAATTAGATATAAAGTCATTAGTTAGAATTATTGTAAGAAAAAAAGTTGTTTTATCAAATCTATATGAATTTTGTCTCGAATAAGTTATTAGATATCTGTTGCTTTACTTTCTTTCTTACTAACTTCGTTTTTGAAAAAGAAATACGTGTGTTTTCGAAACATGTCTGTTGACATCTGTCCTCTTTTCTTCAAATAGTTGCATACATTCTAATCGAAATAATAGACAATAGTTTACATACCATTTCGTCATCACCAGAATTAGCACGTTTAATTGAAATCTGTCTGTTACAATCTGGTGTAATGATTGTAAGAGTATCATCATTTGGTTGCATAGCTAAGACGTCTTCTGGTAAAGGAGGCATTTGTCTATGTGGTTTATGGTAATGAAAAGAATGAAGAATACAATATGTTTCGATGTCTTTATAGTATTTTCTCTTCCTAAATGGAAAAAATCCCAAGTAAAGAACGAAAAAATAAAAAGTTGCAAATTTCCAACTGCTAAAAGATTTTTTTGCTTTGAATCGTTCTGCGAAAAGGTGTCTCAATTATATATGTTTGTGGAATGACTCACCACAGGGAAAAAACACAACATTTTTTTTTCTCTATTCTGTTGTCATCACATGTACTTGGTTTTCTCCCACAAAGATAAAATACCCATAGTATGTAATTGAAAGTTATGATAAACAAAAAAAAACAAATTATAATCATACAATTACTATCATTACTAATGATATTTTTAGTTATATAATCATGAATATAATATATAAACGTAATGATAAAGATGAGAATCTTCTAAAAAAATGTATCAGTATCATATAAAATATGGGCTATAATAATAATAAAGAAGTATATAATATGATATTAAGAGATGCTAAAGAATGTTATCTTTATTATCTAAGAAATACGATCTTTGTAATAATCAACATATTTTCACTAATGAAATTATCAACATCAAAAGGTAAAGGTCATAGATTTTTTTTATACATTTTACATCTATATTTTTATGTTTAGTTTTTAAATTACATTCATTTTCACTATCATATTACTATAAAAGAGATATGTGTATCTTCGAAATGTATGTAAGGAATTTCCCACACGACAAAAGATCATTTACCTTGGAATAATCCCATAAGATAAGGAAGTCTTACTCAAGAAAATTATATAGAATGACTTGGTTTTGTCCTAGTATTAATATATTTCAATTAAAACTCTGTATTCTAACACAGAAATGTGTATGTATATATAAATAATGAATTGATTAACGAGAGATGATATGACATCGGATCTATTTCAATCAGAATATTATAAATTTCTAAAAAATGATGTATTACATATGATATTTTTCTTTTCAATCTGTTTGAGTGCATCTCATTTTACATTTAGTATAATGTCATAATGAGATAATCGTGATCAAATGAGATTAAAATATAAAACGAAAATCATCTTCTTCCGATCTTCTTTATCTTTTTTTTCGTATAAATAGATTATTTGATGAAGACTAATTCATCCGGTAAGCAACAAAAAAAATAAAAGATTCCCTATTGAATAACAATGCAATCAATCGATCTAATGATCAATATGTATCTTTCTCTTTTGTTCAATTCTTAGTCTACTTCTTCATCGTTTTTCTTCTTTCTTTTCTGAACAAATAATACTGACTACATATTGAACCATCAATGATGATGAACACAGTTTTTTGACCTTTCTTTTTAGTAATCGAGCTATAAGCCATCGATATATGTTGACAAATAGATAGAAAAAATGATATCATCGATCATATTTATATACATATCAGTGCAATTTACTTATCAGTCTAATGTTTTTCTTGAAATTGAATATGGAAATGTCATAGTGAAGATAGTACTAAACTACTTCAATTTACTTCAAAAATTGATGAAAAAAAGTATCAATTTTTCTCACTTATATTTTTAATGAATATTCCTTATATATATTTTTTTTCTTCGCCCGAAGATAATTTAATGTATGTGATTTGAGAATAGTGACCACCGGTCAGTTGTTCAAACTCAAGTATGTATATATGCATTGATCAACTGATGATGACGCCCTCCTCCCACTTCTTTTCATTATATTCTTATTTTAGCACCTGCGGCAATGAGTTTGTTCATGACGAGCTAACTCGTGATGATGATAATAATGATGATGGTGATGATGAGAGTAACTGCCAGATTAATTTTGATCAATTCATACTACCGAGAAAGCTGCTACTACTGCTGCTTCGTTGAACATACAACACTTTGCACATGTTTCGACTCTTGTTTCCGTGTACATATACATACATATCCTATATCAAAAACAGAATACGGATGTATTCTTTCTCCTTTTTTTAATGGATTAGTTGAGATGAAGAAAACAAAATGTCTCCAGGAAATAACAACAATATATTCTAAATGAAACATTCTTCTGGGTTACTCGTGCTATAAACGATATATTGTTTAGATGAATAAACATAATGTCCTCCTATTTCTTCTTCTTCTTCTTCTTCTCTGCATGTGTATTCACTCATTGTTTTGATGTTAGCCATCTTGCATTGTCATCAATCACACATATATACACACATATATATATCTTTTTTTTTCATCTACGAAGTCAGAGGTTCATCATATCATCATTATTGAATTCATACTCTCTCAGTACACTTCATTTTATCATAAAGAATCTTGATTATGTCTGTCTATTTGAGATGAAGACAAAAGGTGTGTAAAGAAAGCAAGAGAAATATTTGAACTAGACAAACATAAACTGTATTGAATTAAAAAAAGTAAGAGAGAGAAAGTGAGAGAGAGAGAGAGTGAGAATGAAAGACATGAGAATTTCAATGAGTGGCACCAGACGACAAGTCGATCACGTTATGCAAATATTATTTCGATGTGGTAGCTCTTACTAGTCGCTGGGGATATTCATGGTATGATCGTTCATTGGATTAGCACTATGTACAGTTCAAGACAGTGTCTATTGAGATTTACACCATCATATAATTGCCATTCTTCACTTATCAAAAAAAGAAAAAGAAAAGAAGACATGAGTATGTATTTTTAGATAGACATATGAATGAATGACATCAATCAAGCTTTTCTTATATCACTTTCATAACTTTTTCCTTAGTTTAATCTAATTTTAGTCATATTATAGAAGAATTCAAGCGAATCTCTTTGCACGAATTTCCGGTTTTTAACTAGTCGTCTGTCGATTGATTAATGATTTTGTCTAGCATGTATTTATTCGAACCATATACATATATATATATATATAAATATAGTATATGCGTGCAGTGTGACCTTTTCTCTCGTTAAAATTGTCAATCATTATTCTGTATAACCGAGATTGAGGCGGGTGAGTAATGCATTAGAATAACATACAACTATATTTAACGATGAGAGGAAGATTATTCTTTCTTATTATTGTGAACAAACGATGACCGACGGTTAAAGAATTCAGGTAAGTATTGAACGGATATACTGAGTAGAAGGTTAATTTACATTTTGTCGGCATGTCGCGTGTCAAATTAAAACATTGATCATATGTGTTTGTCCTACATAATCTATATATTTATAGTAATATTTTTAAAATAAAAATACGTGCCAACATATTTCTACTTAAATAAGTATAGGCTGTATACGTATTATATAATCGATTATATCTTATCATCTCTAATTAATGGATCGAATAGAAGAAATATGTCTACTTTCGAATTATAATCCCTTTGCCGCAATACAAAAAGAAGCTTAGAGTCAGTCATCATTATTCATCCTGTATACATATCATTGTTCATGTACATGTATACACCTTTGGCTATTTCACCTTTCGTTCATCTATCTGTCTAACAGTCTATGCCAGTCTTTTTCCACTTTGACAATCATTCTCTTGAGAGATCAAATAGCAACACATATATACACACCTAAGACCTATCATATATTATATGAGATTTCAAATAGGTTAATGCGTTCACAGTTGATGGACAATGTATGTATGTATGTATACTACTGTCTTGATGATTAAACATTCTGCTACATATAATATATATGTATAGATATATGAAAATCAGACATTTTTGCATATCCGAGTGGTACACATGTTACATTTGATCAACGCAGACAAACGACAATGATGTCGATAATGATTTTACATTCATGATAACGAGCTCGAGCGAACAACTTCCGTCTTCAAGTGGTTGAGCCACTCGACGCAGTCGATACGAGTAGAGATCACCACTACCATTTGCCTTAGAGCTAGGATCAAACGTTAGTAAAGATAGCTAATTGTAGCTGTTGGCTGACGAAGCGTGTGTGGCGGAAAAAGAAGAAGAGAAAGATAGAGACAAGAAAAATCTCAATAATTTATTGTATATTCAGTATTTTTGGACAGACAGACAAGCCGCATACATACATACATATATATATATATATACACTGATAAGTGACGGAAAGGAAATGCTTACATCATCTCTCATTAGTAAACTTGATGTACACCTGTCCGATAATCGATAATCTTTTCCTATACTTTCTTCTTTTTTTTTTATGTCGGTAAAAGTTCAAATGGAAAAATACATGAACAACTTTCTTTTTATAATAAAATATATTCACATTCAGTCAATTGAAACAACAGAGAGGAGGAACAATTCATTTATTCACCTATTGTCAAGGCGAATTCACTCTAGGTTTTATTTTTTTTCTTCTTTTCTCTCTCGTTTTTTTTTTTATGTATTGTACACCTACCGCGATTAGCATGATGGTGATGAAGAATAGAGTATACACATATTCATACACAAGAGTATGCCGATTCTCCTCTGCGTGAGCAAATACTATATGAAGAAGAGGACTCTCTTTCGATTTTTTTTCTGTCCATATATACACACACACACACACAGACGCTAATCTCTCTGATGAAGATGATGTGGACATACATATAGTCCGTTTGTTTCGTCCATCGTATGATTTGATCAATAATTCATTATTCGTCCACATTCGTATACTAAGGTACACAATGAAAGAAAAGAAGACTTTCTTTCTTCATTGCTTCGATGATCTCCATTGCACACATGTTCTGAGTGCACACATGCATACACGCGATCCGACCATTGTTCAATACATTTACCATTGAACATATGTCGCGCTAGTCTAACTATATAGGTATAAGATCATTGACGCGTTTCCGGTCGTTAATGTTTTTGTTGTCCACCGTCACATTTTTTCCTTTTCTTATTCTCACATTCTCTTTAATTATGCACAGTACGACTAAAAGTTAATGAACATAGTATAGTAAGTAAATGTGTGGTTGACCTAATCCGTGCTGTGTAGTAAAAAAAACGTGGTATGTATGCATGCTCCTGTCTATCAGTCACAAACAACTGCTTGTGTTTATTTCTAAATTCTATTAGACTTACACAACTCATCTTAGTTTACATGATTATCTAGTAGATCAAATTTTCTCTCATTTTTTGTTAATATAACTTTTCATAATAAATATATATATACAATCGGGAGAGAAAATTACTTATAGATTAGTCGTAATTTCTTTTTTTTTATTATTATTATTATTAATAGAGGGCTTTTGACGAGAAGAAAAAAAAAATGTGATTTGACTTTCTTCATACAAATGACACTTATTATGGATTGTTAATTTCTTCTTTTTTTTTATACACTTTCTGTCTGTTTGACAATGTTACATTCTACGCAACCCATGCCATCGTTTGCGTAACATATTAGGGTACGAGAGAATGAGAAAAAACTGGATGGAGTTATGTTGTATTGGCATAAGAATGGCACGAAAGGAATAACAACAACAGAAAAGAGAAAAAAATATATATATATATAAAGACTCGGGCATTTGTCTTGTCGTTCTTCTCTTATTCTCGGTTTTTTTTCTTTCCTTCTTCTTCTTCTTCTTGCCACCCACAATTACTCATAGATACTCACTTATCGAGCTTGCTGCGCTACGTTCGCACGGCGTGTGAAGACGAAAAGGTTGTCATTTTCTTCTCGTTTTTCTTTTTTTCCTATTCTATGCGGCATAGACACGCGCGCGTGTATACATACACAAAGGATAAAGATCTTGTATTTAATGGTCAAGTTTAAATAGAAAAATCGAAGCCTCTTGATAATAATATGACTTCTCCTCACGCAACCAGGCATACAAATCACATACTAAAATAAAAAAAGGCTACAGTACCAATCATAGACGGTAAGATAATTTACATGCAACGATGCATGCAACACTACTATGTGATTTTGTTTTACGAGATCTATTACATCACAACGTCATTTTCATTTTTTTTAATCAATATAAATACATAGATATATATTTGTTCTTTGTTTTATTTCAGATATTCTTCTTCTTCTTCTTTTTTTCAATCATACATCACTCGTTGATCTAACAATTGACAGACTAATATAGACAATCATTACAAACGATGTTTTCCATATTGGTGCTAGTTGCACTATGTAAGTTTATACGTGCTTTATACATTTGCTCATAAATCATAGGCGAACTCTTTAATGTTGACTTATGGACATATGGGCACAGTTGAAATAATAATAGTCAGATTGATGAATCCTCATTACTCTCTTGAAATACGACGACACCTGATGGCAGTTCTATCATTTTGTCATTAGACTACGTCTCTATATACTTTTTTTTGACCTTTCATCCATGTGATCGATCTCGTTTTTCATTTTTTTTTCAAAACTAATGATTAATAGAACAATAGAAAAATCAGTTAATGTAAGATTGAAGACTCTCTATTTTTTTTATCTTCATTTAAATAGTTCTATCACAAGTCCATGGTGATTTGATTATCAAACCAAGTGGAACATCATTAACAAGAGATCAGTATAAGTCATTTGTTGCATCATGTAGTGGTCAATCAAATAGTCGAGTTATTGGATGGCGATCACCACAACAAAGAGATATACCAGAAAATGAACATGATCGGTAAAAGAAAATAATAAATTTCTATTTGCAATAGTATGTTTTTTTTGTTAGTGTTACAATTGAACGACAATCAAATGAAATTCGATTACGAATTCGTAATTTAACAACAGAAGATCAAGGTATTTATATTAACTGTAGTAATATAGAGTTTGTAATCGGTTGATTACTATTTTCATTGTCAAAATCAAATACAATTCGATATAAGATAAATATTTTTACAACGATGTCTATTAATAATCATCGAGTACTAAACTATCATGATGTTATTCTCTTGAATATTATATAACATGTCATCATTGAAAATTTCATTACTTTGATTAATGATTAAAAAAATGGATAGAAATAATTGTCTATTCAGATAGCATCACTTTAGACCTTTAATCTAAGATATATGATTCAAATAAATCTAATCCCATTTCCAAATATTGAGTAAATGAAATTATCTATATATATATATAAATCTTATTCGAAGAGTAGGATTATCGCCGAATATTTCAAGGTTTTGCAGACACGATCGAGAATGTAGAATAATTTTTCATCTGTTAAATATCGAAAAGAAAAAAACCGCTTAGATGTTTGCACTTCCGGTAACTGAAAAGTGCACATAGCCAGCTGTTACCTATGCTTGAGTTATTTGTCTCTTACGTGCCACTATTTACTTCCGATGTATTCACCGGTTTTGCATAACACTTGTATCGTAGTGTTAACAATGTCTTTATTTCTTTGAATAGGTACATGGGAATGTATGGGTGTAGACAGTACTGGTCAACATACTAGAAGATCTTTTCAATTAATGATCAAAGGTAGATTAAATATTTTTTTCCGAAGAAAATTCCAAGCTTCTTTTTTTTTAATCTTTTCTTCAGTTCCAATTACATTTCATGGTGAATCTGTACAATATGCTGCACTTGATGAAGCAGTTACGATTAAATGCCATGTTCAAGCAACTCCTGCAGCTGAAGTAACTTGGTTTAAAGGACAAGATAAAACTCGAATTGGTTTGTTAAGAAGAAGTTTTTCCGTTCATTTATTAATTTTTTTCTTCTTCTATCTAGATGGTCCTTATTATTCACGTGTTAGTGAAGGTTTACGTATTAATCGAGTACAAATGTCTGATAATGAAACATTCTGGTGCCGTGCTGATGTATTAGAAACAGGAGAATCGAGAGATTTTCCAATCACTGTTGTTATATCAAGTAGATTATTATTTTTCTATTGAAAATATCTATTTCATTTATTTATTTATTCAGAATCTGTAACAGAACCTCGTATAACTTGTGCTAATCCATGTGCTATTGAAAAAAAAACTGCAACACTTGTTTGTGAAGCTACAGGTTTACCACCACCAAAATTTGCTTGGTATTATGGATCGGTAAGTCAATATTTTATTAAAGAATAACCATATTTAAAGTAAATAAATCAAAAAAATCTTAATATATAGGCAGATGAATTAAGACCAGTTAAAGTAAGATTATAGATAAATTTAAGAGAAATATATCAGCATGATAATTCTTATTTTTTCGAGTGACCGTGATGTATGCATGTCTGTTTCTTATTATTATTTTTTTTTGTAGTAAATTTATAAGTTATTATTTATTATTTATTATTATTATTTTGTTTTAATCCTCTCCCCCTCCTTTTTTTTTATTATTTATTCAATTCAGATCAATGTTGTAGCAAATTCGGTAAAAAAACCAGCAGGGATGTTTTGTTTCTTTGTGTGTTTGACTTAATCTGTAGATCAAAAAAAAAAATATCAGTTTTAATTTTATTTTTCGAACTAATATTTTTTTAAATTTATCTCTCACATATGTATTAAGAAAAATGAATTAGAATCGATACCATTGAATTTAACTATGGTACTTTATGATTTTATATCGGACATATTTGGAACAGACGGAAAACAGCGTGTGAGTGAAAAGAAAAGAAAGGGGGCGGACATAAATCAATGAACCAAAACAAAAGGTTATCCTATCAGCATGATGCTTATGTTAGATATTTTGTGTGTATTCTGACTGGCTCATTGCACGTGTGTGTGTGTGTGTTTATACCGCCCCCCAAGTGTGGGACTAGACAATTTCTTTTGTTTGATTTTTTTTAGTAGGAAAACAAAAAAATTATTTATTTAAATTTAGGATTCACCTGTCGGTGCTAGTGAAGTACCAAAATTCGTTGTACGAGGGAATCAATTAACAATTAATTATGTTGATGAAACTGATAATGGAAAATATTCATGTCATGCTTATAATGAATATGATAATAAAGGCCACCGAGCAGAATATAATTTGAATGTTATTGGTAAGTATTGAACAGATTCTTGTTTAATCATTTTCTAGGATAGGATATTTCAAAATGCAATGAATAGATAATAATAAGTTAGAAAGACAACTTTCTCCTAAAATGGATTTACAGTTCATCGGAGCGTAGAAATAAATTAATATACTGAGAAGATTACATAATAGTTAATTCATATTTGTCTATTTCAATTTAATTATAAATCAATATGAAAAAGAAAAATGTTGACATTTATTTAGTTCCACCTCGTTTATCTCCGATTCCACCAGTTGAAATCAATCTCGATGAACATCATCCTCAACGCGTTTCATTTGTATGTCGAGTTGAACGTGGTTCATCGGAAAGTCTTTCATTAGAATGGCAATATTTAAATAATACTCCTATACAAATAACAAATGGAATATTTATTGATAAAGCACAATTAGAAGCACATAAATTAATTGAATTACGTTTTGATCCTGTACGTCGTGAACATTTCGGAAATTATTCATGTGTAGCAAAAAATCTTGCTGATAGTTCTTATTCAATCGCTAGTCTTTATATTCAATGTAAGTTAATTTTGAATTGAAGTTTTTGTTTTCGGCAATTTCTATTTCTTTGTTTATTAGTTCAACCGGTTTTTGTTGGACCTGATATAAATATTGTTTCAACAATTCCAAATTATCGTGTTGTTATGCGTTGTCAATTTGAATCTTATCCACCACCACAAATTCAATGGATTAAAATGAGTCGAACTGTACAAGATCCAGAAGGACGAGTACTTGCTGTTGATGTTGATAATGGTGTTAATGATATAACAACTAAACAACTTGGATCAACATTATTTGAAAGTGTTCTTTCGGTAGATAAATTATTAGTTTAAATCTAAAATTTTCATAAATAATATGATTTTATTTAGTATACACCTAATGAACATGATTTTGGTTTAAGTTTTGAATGTCGAGCATTGAATCCACGTGTTGGCCGACATTCCTATACATTACAACGTGCTGAACCACCGAAAAAAATTCGAATAACCGAAGTTAAACCATTAACAAATGGTGTAGAAATTCTTGTTCAACCACCGGAAACTGGTGGTTTACCATTGACAGAATATATTGTTAAATATAGTTTAACTGATAAAGCAGATGAACAACCACAAACATTAACTATTCCAGGTAATTATTTTCTATTGAATAATACTTTCGTACGATATTTCGCATCCTATCGAAAGATTACTCAACCATCACACCTAGTTAATATATAGACAATAATCTTACTTATCATACATAACAAATAAGTGATATAAATCGGAATAAGGTTAACAAAAACGATTGTGTACTTATTCGCATATATAAGAGAGATTATAAAAATGTGTTTATTGAAATATCCCCAATAGAATTTACTTAATATATTTTATGAACATATTATTAATTCTAAAGAAATTTTTTTTCTAGTTCAAACATCTTCCGATGATCAACAACAAAATTCTCAAGTATTAAAAATTGAAAAACTCAAACCAAGTACTAGTTATCGTTTTACAATTTTTGCTAAATCACGTGCTGGTACAGGCCAACAAACAGGTCCATCAACATTTCGAACACTCGATAGACAAATACCAGATTTTAAAATTGTTAAAATCGATGAAAATAAAAATGAAACATGTTTTAATGATCGAAGTTGTCTAATTAAATGGAGTATTGAATCAGATGGTGGTGCACCAATTATTCGAACTGAAGTTTTATATGCTAAAGTATATATTGTTTAAAATTAAAAACCATTTTATATATAAATCATTTTTTAGGCTAAAGCTGAAAATAGTTTTGAAACTGATGGACCAATTAGTACACCAGTCCCCATCGACCCATCTATATCTGAATATGAAATACATGATTTAAAACCAGCAACAAATTATATAGTTATTGTTAAAATATATAATGAAGCTGGTGCAGCTGAACAAAAACTTCGAATAACAACATTAAAAGAAAAAAGTGGTATGAAAATATTCTTTCGAAATTTAAAAACCGAAACTTCTTATACATTTATTTATTTTAGGTAGTATGACAGCAACAATGAATCCATTAATAAAACGCTATCGACAAAATCAACCGAGTAAATGGGTTATTATTGGTATTGTATTGGGTATTATATTATTCGCAATTGCATTTGTTGCTGTTTGTGTTATAATACGTGTTCATCGACTTGGCGGAAAAAATAAAACAACTGATTCGTAAGTATAGGTTTACTCATTTTTCGAAGATTAAGAAGCTAAAATCATTTTTATAGTAATACAAAAAAAATTCGAAAGTACGTTTTTATTCTCTATCTATTGACATATATATAATATGTGACGTAAATAAATGCATGATCTATTTTGTTGATAATACGAATCATAATTGATTCTTCAATTTTTCTCTAGTTCATCTATATAATTATTTTCTGGTAAACATATGGTTGTATGTGTGATATTATTTTTCCCCTGCTCGACAATGAGCTTCTTTTAAATATCTGATTATTACAAGTAATATACTGAAGTTTGCTTTTCTTTTTGTTCTATAGAGATAATCAAACGACACCAATGATGACTGCAACTAATGGTGAAAATAATTCTCAACAAAATGAATATACAAATGGACATCCATCAAAAAAGGTATTTAGAAAAAAATCAATAGTAAAAATATATAAAATTATATTTAGCCGAAAAAGAAGAAAGCGACAACTTCTGTTTGAGGTATCAAATTGTAGAATAGTAAAGGCTTGAAATTCTTTAATGCTTTGGTTTATTAATGCTTAGAATCTTTTCTCTTATTTATTATAATATTAAATTTTGTAATTATATCGTTTCCTTTTTCTTTGTTTTAGCTTGGCGATGATGTATAGGTGAATGTTCTTCGATCATCGACGAATCTCAAATTTTTTTAGGAAAAAAAAAACTTTCGAGAGAATGTTCATAATATAGATCATTTTGTATGTAAAATCATATCATAAGGATATATTTGTGCGTGTGTATTTGTATGATGTTGGTGCTCTATTTTTGTTTGTTGTTCGTTTACTTGAATATCTTCTCTTTTTTTTCTTTTTTTGCGCATCTAGTCAAATATTTGTTTACAATTCTCTCTCTTTCTCTCTGAGCATACATCAGCGGCATTAATTGAGCTTTAAAATAGAAAAAATATATGCAACAACTAATTTGTTTTCTTGAATTATTATTGTGAACAAAAAAAAACTTCTTGTTTCTTCTCTCTCTCTTCTTCTTCTTCTTATTTCGCTTGTACAAATGAAATACAGTGTTCAAAAATAAGAATGTCGTTGTAATTGTTTCGTTGTGTTTCGCAAAAAAATAATATGAATATTAAAGAACACTGATTTATGTGGGATATTTATTAGAGATTTCCATTCACAATATACAAATATTTGTAATTATTGAAGTTAAGTCTATTCGTTTCGATATTATCGGCACTTGTACTGAACAAAATGAGATATCACGAGGTGTGAATATTTAAGTGAAGTAGAATGAAATATATGCCTTATTATTTCAATAACGCTTGAATTAACAATATCAAATCAGTTGTATATTCTTATTTGCATCGCTGATAAGTACATAAATAGAAAAATAAATTTAAATTGCAAACATGCTAATTAAAACTGAAAGTAGAATATCATAAAAACAAATAAATGCTCTAGTTTTATTTTCAAAATAATTTCCGGTAAGTGTATATATGAATGATATTTTTCTATTTCCGGTTTACATATGATATGCTTATATTAATATTATTTACATATCATATTCAGATATTTTCATTTTAATATCAACCAGTGCAAAACTATTGATGTTTTCAGTGATTATATTTATCGTTTTATTTTCTGGTAAAAATGAATTTTTCCTCAAATTTCTTTTGATTGTTTTATTATATTCTAATAGAAATATGTAGTAATAATTGGACTATACACACAAATATATCTTTTCCATCAAATAATGCAGGTAAATGAATTCAAGAAAAAACGTTTTTTATGATATATTAGTATGAAGAATAGCTAATGCATACTTTTTAAAATCTATCTAATATTAATTATATCTAAATGGCAAATAGTTATCACTTAAATAATGATAATATCTACGCAATTTGTTTTTTTTAAATTATAAGCTTATTTTAATTACAATTAAGGTCTCTCTCTAGTTTCTACTATGTCAACAAGTATTGCACAAATCAATTTGACATCAAAATCTGTTTTTGAAACAACTACTAATAGCATTTCTCAAACAAAAAGTAAGATACATTTATACTGATATAAAATGATCCTATAGAGATAACTTGATTTAGATACATTTACAACAATAAATACGGATATACCTCAACTACCAGGTATGCATTAGATCGTCTTCTTATATCTATATTATTTTGTTTTTCATTCTAAATTCTTTATAGTAATTTCATATAATCTACCAAAATTCTGTCCAAATGCAACATGGGAACAAACTAGAAACATATTTGCAAATGATAGTGTACTTGGTAATTTTACATATGATTTTTTCATCGACAGAAATAATACCGTTTACATAGCGGCATTTGATATGAATCAAATTGTAATATTTCATGAAGAAAATGATACACCAATGATACTTATGAATGAAGATTTAACTAAGCCACATTCATTATTTGTTATGACTAATAATGATATTTATGTGACATATGACACAGATTCCTCTAATATCTATCACTGGACATCAGTTAATTGGACTAATGGTGGTACTTATGGGGCGTATGATACAAATCCCCCTAATATCTATCACTGGACAAATCAAGGAATCCCAATAACTCCATCGAAAACATGCGGGGCATTATTTATGGATATTAATTATAATATTTATTGCTCTTTGTATTATACACATCAGATTATGAAGTATCCATCTAGTAGTAGTACAAATAACAGCGGTATACGTGCTGCAGGAAATGGGTCATCTGGAAATTTATCAAATCTTCTTACAAATCCAATGGGAATTTTTGTTGATACGAATTTTAATTTATATGTGGCAGACAGCGGTAATAACAGAATACAACTTTTCAAGCCCGGAGACACGAATGGAATCACCGTCGTAGGATCTGTATCATCATCCAATTTTGTACTTCATAAACCAACGAGTGTAATTCTTGATGGAAATGGCTATTTATTTATCGTAGATAGTAACAATAATCGTATTATCATGTCAGGACTTTTGTATACTCGATGTATTATTGGATGTGAAGATGGTCTGTCATTTTCTCCATACTTTATACGTTTCGACAGTTATGGAAACATTTATGCCAGTGCTTTCAATAGTAGTCACATTCAAAAATTTACATTAATAACAGATTTATGTGGTAAGTTATATTAATACTTATATTTTTGCATAAAATCTTAACCAAAGAAAGTTTCTCTATATAATAACTCTCAATAATAATGTAAAATATTATTTTCTACAATTTTTCTCTTAGATTTCGATCGATCAACAATTGCACATACTGGAACTACGAATACTCAAATACAATATAATACAAATTCAACTGCAAAACCCAATTCAATAACAACATTGACTAATGGTAAAACTCAAATACTCTATATATCTCATTTAGAGATGATCACTCCTTTTTATTTAGCTGTATCTCAATACACTACAGAACAAGATAAATTAACAACATTTTCACAAACTTCATATAAACAAATAACAAATACAACAATGTCAAATCTTCAAAGTATTTTTTCAGTCATTTTATTGATTGCATATCTTATAATTATTCATATTTTAGGTCTTATTTTGTCAACAATATCACCCAACTCTAGTTTAATACAAAATGCAACAACATCAATACATCATGGTAAAAATCTATTATTATCTTAACTACATTACTAATATACATATGAAAATAAAAACTCAACCTTAATGTAAATGTATATTTTTAGATGTAATACAGTCAACAACACAAATAACTTCGACTTCAACAATGACAAACACTATTACAAGTACAATGACTAATAGTAAAAAGAATTTCTTTTTGCCAAAAATAGAAACAATGTTGCTATTTTGTCTTCTAGATTTTACCAGTAAAACAAGTGTGGTTTCAACGGCATACAGTGAAACAACTACAACTATGAGCATCATACAAACTTCAAAAGCTTATGGTGATAATATTATTTTCTAACTTTAGAAATAATTATAATAAGTCAATATTTTAGATTTTACCGATTCAACGACATTATCTACTCAAACTATGAATTACACAATAATACAAAATGAAACATCTTCAATGGCAAATGATTTTACAACAATACAATATGATGAAAGTTTAATAGAAAATACGATGACAACAACAGAGACTGATATATCTACAATGGCAGACGATAGTACAACAATAGAATATGATGAAAGTTCAAGAGAAAATAATATGACAACAGCAGAAACTGATATATCTCCAATGGCAAACGATATTACAACAATACAATATGATGAGAGTTTAATAGAAAATACTATGACAACAGCAGAAGCTGATATATCTCCAATGGCAGACGATATTATAACAACACAATATGATGAAAGTTTAATAGAAAATACTATGACAACAGCAGAAATTGATAAATCTACAATGGCAAATGATTTTACAACAACACAATATGATAACACTTTGACAGGAAATACTATGACAACAACAAAAGCCGATAAATCTACAATTGCAAACCATATTACAACAATACAATATAATAAAACTTCGATAGAAAATACTTTGACAACAAGAAAAACTGATATATCTACAATGGCAAACGATATTATAACAATACAATATGATAAAACTTCGATAGAAAATATTATGACAACAACAAAAGCCGATAAATCTACAATTGCAAACGATATTACAACAACACAATATGGTAAAATTTCGATAGAAAATACTTTGACAACAAGAAAAACTGATATATCTTCAATGGCCAATGATATTACACTAACACAATATGATAGCACTTTGATAGAAAATACTATGACAACAAGAAAAACTGATATATCTCCAATGGCAAACCATATTACAACAGCACACTATGATAAAAGTTTGATAGCAAATAATATGACAACAGCAGAAACTGCTATATCTACAATGGTAGATACTATTCACACAATAAAACCAATATCTTCAAGTAAATAGAACTACTAAGTTTTCTTTGAATCTATCATACCAGTATAAAAGATTGTGATGAAATACTTCTCTTACTAGATGTTGATAGATTGTACAACTTGATGATTGGTTTTTCTATTTTAGTTTTTCAACCTTTTATTGCAAATATTTGTCAAAATTCATCTCGAATTGGCTTCTTTTGTAATATTTCATCTACTACATGTGATTTATTAAATCCATGTCAAAATATGGGCACTTGTTCAAATAATCATAGCGTACCACTAGGTTATACATGTGCATGTCAACCAGGTTTTAATGGCACAAACTGTCAACTTGATATTCGACTTTGTAAACCTACAACATGTTGGAATAATGGTATCTATTTTCTTTCATATCTATCATTTACAAAATTTTCTATTCTAGGTAATTGTTCTATATCATTCGGAAACAATTCTTTATGTTCGTGTACTTATGGATGGGAAGGTCTTTATTGTCAAAATAAAGTTAATTACTGTCAAAATGTAACATGTTTAAACAACGGCATTTGTCAATCATTATTTCTCGGTTATAAATGTGAATGTATATCTACATTTTATACAGGTTCACATTGTGAATTTATTGATGAATCACTTATAATCAAACAATACGTTTCAAAATCATTTGCATCTATTGCAATCATTGCTATTAGTACTGTCGCTATATCTATCATTGTACTTGATATAATGACATATATTTTTCATATTGATGTCACTCGACATTATCGTGACCAATGGCTACGAAAACGAGCTCTTGAAAAACAAAAATCAAAAATACCGATGCCACGTCGTATGGCTTATCGATTTATATATATTCATCACCCATCATTAGCTGAACACTCTGTTTGAAATATAAACTATTTCTCATATATATGAAATGCTGTAAATTAAAGCTATTTTTCTATTCATATTTATTGTAAATATATCACTTGATTTGATATTTTTATTTTATTTGAAAAAAAAATATTTGAAAAATTAATTTAGAAAAAAATATAAATGATTAATAATCATGATCGGATGCAATTGTATTAGATGATCCGGCATAAAGTAAAGGAGTAGATTCATCTTTCGAACGTCGTTTTTTTAATAAAACAAGTGTTGTTATAAATAGAATTATACCAACTGGAATGAGTACAGTAGATACCCAACGAATAATAGTAAAATATCGTAAAACTTGATTATTCAAATCATCGGCAGATTTTTGATCAATAGTTGTTGATTCATTTATCCATATAGCTGGTAAAATAACTTCTGCTATATTTTTAAAATCATAAATAAGTTCTTCACGTTGAAGAAAAACATTGATTTGTAAACGTTTTTGAGCACTTAACACAAGTCCTGTATGTGGTTCAACTTCAAGTATTGTTCGATGAATATCTGCATTTGGTGCGATACCTTCGAGACGATCTTTATATTGATCAGCTGCATAAAGAAGATGTGGTAATGATATATATATAGGTGCACCTTGTCGACATACACTAACATCAAGAACACCTGAATCTGTCGTACCAAAAGCAATATTATCTGGATTAAGTGTAGAATTAAGAAAAACTTCTGCTGGTATAGAAAATGATTCCGTTGGAATATTTAAGACAGATGAATGTCGTTCAAATTTAGCATATAATGAACGACATATATCAGTTGAATATAAATATAAACGTTCACTTTGAAGATCTTTATTAATTAATGGAGGAAACCATGAACCATCAGTTCCATTTATTTGATTACCCCATGGAGTTCTCCAATAAGGTAAAGATGAAACACCTAGAATTGAGATTAACAAAAAGATTTCAATTTTGCACAACTCTTACAGTAGTATATCTTATCTTTTAGTCTACTTTTAAACAAGAACAAAATAAATGACCTATTTTACTATTCTATGTAACTTACCGTTCCATTTATTAATATGATTTAATACAGTGATATCATTTCCACCTGTATGCAAAAGAAAATAAAATTAAAAACTTCTTGCTTTTTTAAATTATTATATTTTACCTGTAAAAACTGTATATAATCCATCATCAGTTCCATTTGATCCATAAAAATAACCAAAATGATCATCAGGTATTAAATCTTTCAAAATAGGTATTGATCTTGCTGCTTTAAGTAATGGATCTTCATAACCCCAAATCCATTCTCCTGCTGTACGATTAACAAATAATGTTTCCTTATAAATATCTTTAACAAAATTAAATATTTCTTGTGTTATATTTGATTGATTACGAATAAGTGAAACAATAGTAACTATGGGTGTGTTAACCATTGTTATTTTAACTGATTCATCTTCAGCAGACATATTACGTAGAAATGTATATGATATTACTTGACGATATGTAACTGTATAATTTTCATTAAAATATACTCCGGCTTTATTTCGATGTTCTAAATAAGTAAATGGACCACGTTGAAAAACTGTTGGTTTTCCACCTCGAACAACTTCAGCTGGATTAGTACATTCCCATAACCAAAATTGTAAATAAATTGGAACTGGTGGTGTTGACCATCCAGCAAGTTGATCAGAGTCAGCTGTTAATGGTAATTGTTTATTGATTTGATTTTGCATGATTCGAGGACCCAAAGCAATACCAATTATACCAATTATTACGAAAATACATGATATAAGTAATGAAAATATTGCTATACATGAAACGCACCGTAACGAAGCCATGAATAATAGAAATGCCTTTTTCTTTTGTTATCTATTTTTATTTAAAAAGAAAAAGAAAGGCAACAGATGATGTTACTTTTTCTTTATCATATTTGTTTTTATTTGTTTAGAACGTCATAAATTGTGAGTAAATGGTGAAGATTTATATTAAGGCGTGTCACAAAAGGTAATATAAATATAAAGCAAAATTTTATAAAATCTGGTATATTTGCTCAGTGTAAAAGAAAAGGTTTTGGAGTATAAACAAATATATACACTGATTCATATATGTTCAGCTGCTACAGATATGTAGATGTAATCACTATTTTACTTTTTGTCAGGTACTTATAGGTACAAATGTAATATTTTTTCTACTAATGTGGATATAAAATGAAATGAAAACTTTGTATTATTCAATATAGTATTATAATCTTATTTTGTTTGAGTTTGATTTAATATAGAAAACAGATCATGTGCTATACTCAATCTATCATTCACTCGCTCAAGAAAAAGAAACGTTTTTTATATGTTAATATTTCGACAAATTATGAATGTGGTATATGATGGCAGTAGTATACAGAAACGATGTTTAACAATTAATAATAAATTTTGCCCATCTACAACATACATCAGAAACTATGCTGCTGATATTGTTTTAATTTATAGAAAGCTTGAACATATTCTCTTTTTATTCATATTAAGAACTCAAATAGTACTACATAATTCCTTTATACTCTATTGGCTAATATAAAATTGATGCACTAGTTCGCTTTTGCTTTTTAATGGATAAAGAAAAATTCTAAGTGTACATATAGATTTCACCGCATTCGAAACGACACTTGCAAATACTAAATAGGTTTATGAACTTATTAGTATCTAACGAATAATCTGTACCCTAAAAGAATTCAGTAATAGATGACGAGTCATGATTTTTTTTATTTAAATTGAATAGCTTCCATTTATAAGCAAAGATTTTTCTTCCACATTGAAAACTAAGTATTAGAATATCAACAGGACAAATAATACAATCTTCTATAATTCTACAGTGGTCTTAATTTATATACTTGAGTTACCTAAAACAAATCAATTGATATTGGTCATGAGTAAAAATTTCAAAATTTATTAATGTTATATATGATTAAGAACTACAAAAGATATATGAAGAAAAAAATGTTATGCAGGATAAATATTTATAAGCAGATAAGTCATTCCCTGAGTTTATTTTGATTGCTATTTAGTGAAGTTTCTTTCGATTACGTCGAACTTTCCTTTGTTTAATAGGTGCTTGTTCTTGTGGTCCATATAAATATTTTTCTGATCGTTCCCAACCCGGGTATGGTCCATTTGTCCATGGGTGACGTTCATTAAACATTGAGTAACGTAGATGAACTCCAGCATAAAAAGGTTGTGCTTCAATGATTGTTGATAAACGATTTCCCTCACTTGTTGAACATAAAAGCATACCTGAATTAACTCGTAATTCACGCATATTACTCGTTGCATTCGTCTTTGTATCAATATGTTTTATTGAGCGAACATGATTATCATCAATAGATTTTTTTTCAAAACATATTGTAAACGGATCATTTTCAAGATTAGCAATTGTTAATGTTAAATGTAAATTTGGATATGTCCAAAGTAATGTACCATTACATGGTTGTTGTATTTGAGCAAAAGCATGTATTGGTTGAAGATAATTACGTGGTGATACTGTTATACGACATTCATCATAATAAACAATATGTTCATTATATATTAATTCATGTTCTTCACTTGATATTTTATTAATTAAAACTAATAGAATACTTAAAAATAAGTTACTCGTATACATATTGTTTAACGAAACGATAAAGAAAAACAAATGAATATAAAAAAAACTGTTTTGTCTATGTAGAAAAAAAAATAAGGTCTCTTAGTTCTATACATTTCTCTCTTCTTATCTAATTACTGTCAGCTAAATGCCATTGATCATAATCAAGAACAATAATAATTGTACGATGATAATAGTAATTGTACTATAACTACTACTATCCTACTAATGATATTGTTTTTACTAAGTCCCACAAGTTTATATATATATGTATACTAAATACAGATTTTTCTCTCTCTATCTTATGAAGTAATTCTTGTTATCTTTACAAATTTGAATGACAGATATTATACAAAATGGACTCATTGTTGTTTTTGCCGTGTAGTAAATACGATGAGATATATCAACAATCGATAAGAAAAATAAGGAAATAAAAAAGAAATGACTTCCTGATTGTTATATTTTTCCATAATATTCATATACTAATAAAAATTAACAAGGTAAATACAATCGAACGAATTTTTATATGATTACTTAGAAACATTTCTTCTTCTTGTTTTTAATAACATTCATATATGGATTCAAGCAAATTTTGTTCATAAGAACTTTCTATGCCAATGGCAGATCATCAATATTTTTTGTTATATCAAATTACTTGAATAACAACAATTAACATAGTAAATAATGTCATTTTATATACATCTGTATCCCTGAAGTTTTCGTCAGTCTTAGTAATAAGACATTGTTGGTAATCGAAAAGATATAGATTTTAAGTATATAAATCTACGAAAATTATTCAGATAATAATGACATTACTATAGTATAATAGATTCATTTAGATTGAATGTACTATCGTAGTTGTTATTAATTTGTTTAAATTACGATTCAATGCAATCTTTGCTGATTTCATGTTTATGTTAACCGGATGTTTACTTATTTAAATATAAGAGGAAAAATTCTGACTACAAATATATATATATATGACATTATTTACTGACTATCATTTGATGAATTTAAAAATGAAAGACTATTACCTTCTGCCAATTGTTTTTTTTCCGTAACATATAAGAATTTTCAGTATAAATCTTGTCTATAATTATCTTATTTCTTTCCATGTTTAAAAGCTTTAAATTTATCATTATCATATAGTGTTTATTTTTATATACAAAAAAAAAAGGATCGTAAGAGTTCTTCTTTAAAGTTTATTCATCCGAATTAATTGCTAAAAGATCTTCTTTTATTAAATCATTCAAGCATATGCAAACCATTAAACAATAACTATTATTAATCGTAATTTTAGTTTTTTTTATATATAATGTAATCATTCTCTTACTCATAAATTATTACAAATCAATTCTATTTCAAAACAAAAAATCAACATTAGATTTATCTATTAGACAGCATTCCGTTTCTCTTTTTTTTCAATCAACATATATGTTAAAAAAAATACTAAGTATCAAATTGCATGTCTAGATTTAATAATTTTTTGATAAATGACTGAATGTAAATCATAATGATATTGATAAAAAAAAGAAATCCAGTGACAATATTTCTTTTTTTTTCTTGCTATATATAATGTAATTATTCTGCATCACTAATACTTTTGTATACTTATTAGTTTGTTTATAACTTCAATAATCTTTTGTTTGATAAATTCTCTCTGTACAATTAAAAACTATGATATTATTCTTAGTATTATCAATGATATACAACAATTGTAAGTATATATTTTTTCAATATGAAATCTAGGTTTTTTTTCTTGATGAGATTCTAATTGTTTAACTATAGAATGATAATTCTATATTATAGAATAGTTAGAAAAATATCAAAGTGTGATTATAATATATATTCCTATTAAGCACATCATTAGTTAGTGAAAAAAAAAGTTTTGTTTACGTGTCTTTGATGCATCACGTTAATTGTTTTGAATAGGCTATCGACTCCCTATAGATATGATTAGTATTGCTAAGCAAAACAAATTGCTTCCGGCTAAGCAACATTCTTCGTCTTCTTCTTTTTTTTTTCTTAGACACGCTTTTTGCTATTCCAATGTGCTATCAATAGACAAGTTTTTAGTGAGTCGTTTTAGTATATAGGCAACATATATCTATTTTCTCTACTTACATAGCACTCATATAAATTGTGTTAGCGGTAGCTATTCTAATGAAAAAAAAGAAAGAAAGAAAAATTGTAAGGCTTTTTAGTTAGAAATCTATCTACAAGTAATAGTCGTTGATGAACTCAAAAGCAATCTTTTTCTTCTCTCTCTCTCTCTCATCATCGTTATTATTGGACACGATCTTGGCCTTTATTAAAGAAAATACTTTCTCTCATTTTTGGTTTCTTAAAAAGCAAAGACATACAAAAATATATTGCAAACATATGGTCACCGAATTAGAGTATCTTTTCACTTTCTCCTTCACTTATATAAGTATACTCGTTTTGTCCTTCTCTTACATTCTTATGCCACTCATTTTTTCACTCTCTTCCTCATATGTTATTTATTCCCACCAACTATGCCTTTCTCATTTGGTTTCCACAATCACAATAAAATCCATCAATTAAATGATATAATTATGAAATAATGTAACACAATATAGATTAAAAAAACCTTATAAAAAATTTTTTTCTCTCGTATTAAATCCTTCGAAAAAAGTTTTGTGCTTTTTTTCCTTCTCTCATATCTTCTATTAAAAATGGTCGACCAATGTAAATTAAACGATAGTGAACAAGTGAGTAATTTTCTATACTATACTTTCGAATTTGATATTATTCTATTTTTTTGTTGTTACTTGTGCATGCTCTTTTTTCTGGTACATGAACAAACAGACCGAATCATTCTTCCGATTCCATCTTTTTTTATTATTCTTATGTTAGGCTCTGTTGTTGCCGTTCGAGTTGTTGTTTTCTTTTGTCGTCTTTCCTAAATGTCACTTCTATTTATTTCTTCTTCATATTACAATGTCTTCATCACGCCCTACTCTATTAGTAATTGAGATATATAACGCAGAAAAAGAAAATCATAGTAGACAATTTTTATCATACAAAATTCTTTACTTTAAAAGAAGTTCATCATACGAAACTATAACGCATTATTACTTGTAAAAAATAGTATTTTGTAGGCTAATGAATAAAACTTTATTGGATTATTTAAATTAACAATTTAATATGTCTTTTATTATCAAATTAATTAGATACGAAATAGTCTATGAAACAATTTGTTTAGAATTCATTCAACATTTTTACTAAAATTCTCCATCAATGTTGTTTTAATCTTCTCGCGTGACATGAAATCTTTCTATTTGACTGTCAATCTTATAAAAAAATTCTTTTAGTATAGTATATGATAAAAAAAACCCTATCTGCGTATCTGTGCAATGTAACTGTCGATCTGTACTAGAAATGACATGTTACATTAATGTACTATCTTCATGGACTTTAATAAATAATAAACATGAATACTGTTTTTTATAAGTTTCCGAAACAAAAATTCTTGTTATTTCAAGTATAAGAAATATTGTATTAAGAAGAAAAAAAAAGTATGGAAGTAAAAATCAACAAAAGAAAATAAATAGAATTATATGTTTATATAATATTTGTAACTGGAGATTTTTTTGTTATTCTATTTATAGCAAACATTTTTTGTTAGTATTAGCTTCTTTTTTTCTATATGCATTTCAAAGTCATGTAAAATAAACTTCAAGATTTTTGTAAGTGATACTTTTCCTTAAGAAAATATCAATTTGAAATTTTTAGTAAAATTTTCACTAATTAAATAGTTGTTCAAATAAACAATACATTTTTATTTGATGTATGTCGAGAAAAAAAAAAGAATTACTCGTTTTATGTTAACATATGTTTATATCTCCAAGCTTTATCATATCGATAATAGAAAATTTGCTAGTTTTTTTTATCTTGATGACCTTCTTTGTTGTATCGTTTGTTTATCTCTCCAAATGCACATTCATTAATTCTTTCAAAACTAGTACTAATACTCAAACGATTAATCAATATGTCCAAAAATGGATATTAGGAATATTAGTACGTCATTACGAGATGGTACAATCATCAATATTAACTTCACTATAATGAAATGAAAATGAAAATAACAACAACAGTAGCTCAATTAGTTCTAGTGTGTCGTTGTTACAAATAAAAGAAAATGAGAAAATGAGAAAAAAAAATGTTGTCTCAGTTTTTTCCTTTATTTTGTATTGAAAGCCGAGCAAGCGAGAGAAAGAACATGCGTATATACACATGAATAACGCAAGATCTCGCCCGTCGGCCCATTCGCTCGTTGCCGTTGCATTAAAAGTGGATTGATGAGTAGTCGTGTAGTTTTAGAAAAAAAAAGAGAGAGTGTGTGTGTGTGAGAGAGAGAGAGAGAAAACTTGCTACTTTTACTGCTTATTCAGCTATTGGCTGTAGAATCGTTTATTCACACACAATAAAGCCCACAGATCATCAACAAACAACGTACGGGAAAAAGCATCGAAATGAATTTAATAAAAAGAACGAGACAACTGTGCTTCTTCTTTTTTTTCTCATCTTCGAACGTTGCTTAATTGTGTTTGGCGCGTTCCACTCATCGGCATTATCATTATCATTGTTTCGTGATCCATCGACACGAGTAATTCAACACCACATCATACGCACAAAATCACTTGGATAGTTAGAGCTATAGACAAGAACTACTTTTCTCTTTTACTTGTCCCCCATCTAAAGTAAGTTGACGTTTTTCTTGCATGCATATCAAGCTGACAATCTTTAGCTGTATTAGATATAAAACTTCTTCTATTTTCAGCAAAGAGCGAAAGAAAGAAATAGCATAAATCTGTCGTTTTAAATCATTGGCAAAAAGAAAATGATATAGAAAAACTAATATTCTCTTTGAAATCAATTTAGTATGAATTTCTCTCATTACCACTCATTTTTTTCTTCCTTATAATATATACACACATTTATGATTATCTATTTTTATATTTTGATTATAGTAAATGGAAAAGTAATATTACTTTTAAACATGATATGTTTTAAAAAAAGAAACTAAGTTTGTTAATAGATGAATATAAATAGTTCTATATAGATGTAAGAAAAATAAAGTAATGTGTGATTGAAAGAAATTATTAAACAGATGGTGCCATGATTTTTGTTAGATGACGATTTATATCGATATAATCTATATGTGTCTGTCATTCATTGTTCCTATTGATCTCTTCTTCTGTCAACATTGACAAAAAACTGATGACAAATACATCAATTTTAATTCATGATCTATCATATTGTGCATCTCTTCTTATTCGATTGTAACTCAATCAAAATTTAATTTTTATTTGAAGTATTCTGTCATATTTTATATCCGTCTTTTTCTTTCTTTTTATTTATTTATGTTTGTCAGTTTCTTGCATGACTTATAGTTGCCAGTTAGTTATGGTTTCTGTTGAACAAATATAATATGTCTCTTTGGATTTATATATGAATAGACGAATATATTGAACTATCATATAGTCCAATTAGCGATGTCTGATCAACAAACATACACGAGCACAAGATGATTGCAAACTGACGGATGCTAAGAACTGAAATAATAGTAATGAAAATAATAATAATAATAATAATAATAATAATAATAGCAACAACAACAACAACAAAAAGAGAAGGAAAAGAAGCAGCAGTAATAGCACCGATTAATCCTTGATGGGTTTTTTCTTTTCCGTTTGTGTCTTCCAACCAATGTGCCAAGCGCAGAAGTAGTAGAATCATTGCTTTTTATCGATATGACGTAGGTTATTATGTCTTTCAATGCCAATTTGTTCCTTTGGCAGTATCTCAATCAGTTTAACTAGAAAATAAATCTTAATACTAATAGACAAAGAAATCTATGGTAAGTTTTTTCATTCTATATTCTACTCATGAGAAATTCTGATTATTGATTATCAAATAAAGGTGTAATATATATTTTTTGTTGATAAGAATCTAATAGATAAACTAAATTCTAGGAACGGAGGAGTCTTATGTATATATAACGAAAAAAAGGAGGGAATATGTTCTAAGGCTTCCTTCTAGTTCTCTATTAATGTTCAATGTTTTATGTTATGTTGAACAACATTTCTTTTGCATGCTGTTCCGGATGTTCGCTCTCTTGCGTCTATTTTCCTTTTTCTTCTGTCTTCTGTTTCTGGCATCATGACTCTCTGATGTAAGGTGTTTCCGTGTGCAATATGGCTTGTTCGACTTGTAGAATAGGTAAAGAAGAATGAAGAAAAATGAAGATGAAGAAGAAGATGAGGAATCTCGACCGTAAAGCAGTAGTATTCTAACCGACGGGAATCTACATCAGCGAAAGCGAAGAAGAGAGAGAACAAAAAACGAAGAAATAAATAAATGCTGGAGAAAAAGATCTTTCTTCTTCTTCTTCTTTTTCTTTATCGATGTACTGTCACAATATAGTCATAATAGAGCGTCAGTTACCTTTATATCTTAGTCATAATGTTAAATGGGTATTCAATCGTTATATCAGCAAAAATATACAAATAAAAATATGTGTGTTTTCATTGAATTCGAGAATAGATAAAATATCAAATCGGATTATTGATTTATTTTGCATATCTTAAAAGATAAAATAAAAGAAAAAAAAGATTTTCAATCGTTTATATAATATAACTAAACTAGATTATATTAATAAAGCAAAAAAAGAAAATTTCTATTTCTTTTCTTTTCTTTTTTTTTAAGCTATATCAGAAAAATCGATGTTAATCTGTAATCTAGATTAGACAATAAGAAAAAGAAAAGAAGAAAAAAGTAGAAATAGCTTGATTTTTCATTTGCTAAAGAAATCAAGCGAGTGTTGTTTCTCCCCATCTCGAAATGACATTTTTTTTTCTTCTTCTTTGCAGTTATTTATTACTAAAATAAACATATATTCATGTTATTTTAGGATGTCAAGATGGGCACTGCAGAATCGTCTCAATCGTCCGAATTGGGTGCCATTGCTGGACTTACGAATCAATCATCATTTCATCGACAATCACCCAATGTTGCACGTTTAATACGTAGTGAAACTTCATCAAAAATGGAATATGAATTTCCAATAACTGACGTTCCAACTAGTAGTTCGTCTCATCATCATCATCATCATGATCATGGCGGCGGTGGTGGTGTTGGTAGTAGTACCAGTAATCATTCGATAATATCTGGTAATAACAATCGTCATGATCATACATTATCACATCTTACTAGTTCATCCACGTCTCAACAACAAATTATTCATCCGAGTCATTTACTAGGAGCTAATGACAACATAACACATTCGAAAATTCCTACAAATCAAGCATCAAATCTATGGTTAACATTAACAAGTTGTTTTGGTTGTCGTACACAACATTCAAATGATTCATCAATGAATTCCTTACGTGATAAAGTACATGCTATACGTATTGTTCGTGCATCAAATGATCTAACACCGGCTGTTTTCGATTCACATTATAATATAATAACTCTTGAACAATTACGTGAATGCGATAATAATGGAAGTGGAAATATGGGTTCATTACCAAATGATTTATCTGATCCTTTATCGTCACAAAACCCTAATTCTAGTGGCTCTGCTCAAAATGGAAATGGATCAGTAACGGCATCATCAAAAAAAGACAGTAGTTATCGATTAAGAAAAAAGAAGAAAAAACGTGCAGCACAAACAGCTGCTTATTCATCGAAAACAACGGGTTCAGATGATGATGATGAAGGATTAGGACGGACGTAATAATAAATAAAAATGTAATCGAAAAAAAAACCGCTGGTCGGTTTTCATTTATATTTAGTCAGAATGTACGTTCATTTGCGTGGTGATAATTGTTTAAAAACCCGTGCAATCGCGTTTAACTTTTTGAAAACAGTCACTTCTTTTTTTTATTGTATAGAACTACTTCATTCAATTTGTTTGAGACTTTTAAGTTTAAATTTTAATGTTTCTGCTTCTCCTCTATCTTTTTTCTTCTTCTTCTACTTCTGTTTCACTCGCGCATTCTACACTTTCAAGTGAGAATTATAAATGAAAACTTAACAACTTAAAATTTTCTTTTCTACAACACTAAAAGAAAGAAGTTAAAATTAAAAGCTAAGACTATTTACTATTTTTATTATACAATGATCAATTATATATATTAAGTAAAAGGAAAAATTCTTTTGTCGGTGTTAGATAGAAAAACTTTTTTTTTAATATTTTTCTTTCGTACAAAAGAACGTGCTATTTGACTGATTACAAAACGTGATAGATAATAACATAACAGAAAGCGATCAATAAAGAATAGTAAGAGGCTTTTCTTTTTTTTCAATCAATTTCTTTTCAATCTTTATCGAAGGAATTACGGTATTTTAGAAAATAATAAAAAGATTTTATGAACTTCTTTTCTTTCAATGAAAATTAAGAATAACGAAGACTTTGCTATACAGATATTGATGAAGCCAATCAAAAAAAAATTTTTTTTTGACTAAAAAAGAAGAAGAGATATATGTTTTGTTGATTATAAATAGACAAGGTTAGTAATGTTTATATTTATCCTAGAAAACAAAAATGTCATTCATGCGTATTTAAATAAGAAAAATAAATAACTGATTTTATTTACATACATTGTAATACTTTTTTAAATAGCATATTACTATTTCCGTAGTATATATTTTTGTAATTATGTCACAACTGATCTATTTTATTATTGTTTCAAATAGATTGAAAAGTAAAGAAGCTATATGAATGTAAACATAATTTACAATCAACATGAGAATAAGAAATCCCTAATGTATAAATTAAGAGTAACAATAGTAATGAAAAATATGTATGAAAATAAATCCTGAAGGAAAGAAATAATAAAAGTCTATCTTGTATTGAATGAATGTATTACAAATAAATCACCATACAAAAAAATAGAATAATTTATTCTAGATTACATATTTTTATCTACTAAATTGTGCATTACTAGATTTTTTAATCGACAAAAAAACAGACATAATCCTGTGAAATATTAAAAGAGATATATTAATAATTTTATCATATGATATATTCAAGTCAGACTGTTTTCAATCAATTAACTCATTTCGTTACTAAAAATAGAAACATTTTATTAATACAATTTATAGCCAATGAAATCAAATTCTTTTATTATATTTAACTATATGCCTACTTCACAAGTTAATACTTTTCTTAGACATTCTTCAGTATAGATTTTGACTCTATTTATCATATTGACTGATTAACAGATATATGTAGACATGATTATTGATTGTTAAATTGACAAAAATAGTTTTTATGGAGATAATTATAATTCAATACAAAGGAATTTGTTATGTGATATTATTAAAAAGAAGTCTATCATGTACTCTAACTGTGAAATAAGAGAAATTTTAATTTCTAAAAAAAGAATGGATCAAATAACATTTGTCTAGAATAAGTTTTTTATATATGATATTTATTAAATTTTTTTTTGAAATAAAACTACGAAATCAGTAGAATTATAAATATATTTACATTCTATACTGACGTATTGGCAAATGCAAATATCACCGTAGACTTTTAGAAATATTTACTTCCTTTAAAAGTAGCTTATAGACTCACTCGTATGATTAACACGCACACACAACAACTAGGGAGGGTGATGGCTGTGCATGAATTGAGTAAATATCTTTCTGACTAACGTCTCGAGTGTACGACGAAACGTCATTCTACTCGACTTCTTAACCCTTTCATGACCGGCTTATTTTAAGGGACAATTACAGAAATGTCAAAATGTGAACATCAGAAAGCTTTCAAAATGATATCCTTTGAAAAAGTTAAGATTTTACAGTACAACAGCACAATTTGAACAATAAAGCTTTGTATCGCTTCATATTTTTCTGGCTGAATTGTATGACTGTTGACGAAATAACGTTTTGTTGATATTATTTTCAAGAATAAAATTAAACATAGTGGACAATCGGTTAGTGATCTATCATTCATATGTGGCCACTTTGATCCATATTCTTGAATGAGCTCTCAAGCAAGATGCAAACAGAATTCCGATAGTTCGGGATTTTTTTATCTTGCACATGGCATAGGAATTCATATAATCATATCGATAAAATGAAGCAAAATTCTTATGATTGCACTTGTAGAAAATGCAGGTCATATTACGAACGCGTGAAAAGAGCGTGCGTAATGTCTAGCTCGACTCCCCACGCTTTAAAGTGTCATCTGTCCCTAAAAGATTAATATAACGATATTCAATTCAATCGAAGAATGCTTGTAAATTAATCATATGTAATCTACTAATATTACGTTAACCTTATGACGTTAGAGAGTTTATAAATAAATTCTATTGATACTGAATTAAGCTTACAATCGCTCTAATTGTAAAAATAAGAACTAAACTTGTATATATTTAGATATTTTTGATTTCATCAAGGTTATGTTTTGCTAAATTATATTACAACTAATAAACAAATGACAATTTTTTTAACTTATACATACATTTAATTAAAATTTCAATGTACTTTTTCAAAAAAAGTGCATTGAAATGTCATTTCCTAATGACACTACTAACATAATCATCATTACGACGTTACACATATTACAATGTAAATCCATAAAAATGAATGATCAGTTTACTTAATTGAAATAAATTGCATTGAGATGGTTCAGTAATGAGAAATATCCTCTATTAATATCTAAAGGTAAATCAATATCGAATTAAGAATACATAAAATATCAATTGATGAAATCAATCTTTTCACATTTCAATATACGTAGTAAATAAAAAATCTGTCAAGATTATATTTCATTTTTCTCAATATTGACGTTGTTTTACATATTACTAATATTATTTAATTAAAAATTAATTTTTTTCGTAAGTTTTTCTTCTTGTATACAAGTATATTATAATGATCTATTTGTCAAAGAAATACATGCAATGACGACTATGTTGTTTACTTACAATTGTAATGTGTCCATGGACGACTGCAAACATCATAGAAGAAAAGAATGTGTGTGATACACTACCTACGCTCACATAAAAAAAAGGTTAAATATGTCATTATAAAGCAGTTGCAATACTAATATCAACATCGAATCTTTTACCTATCATTTGTTTTCTCAATAACATATAGAGTTGTATATCATGTATACAAATGTATCGAACTCATCAAAGCACTCCTACCGTGACAAGTGCACACCGCCTCGTCAAGTTGTTCTTCGTACTCAAGTAAAAACAAAAAATTCTTCTTAATGATATTTTGATTGACTTTTTTTTTCCTTATAAATTTTTAGCCAAATAATAATCGTGTTGCCTTAGTTCATGAAAGAAAATATACAATTAGATTACGTCGCCGTCGTGCTCAACAAACACGTTCGTTCTATGATAATACTGAAGGTGATGAAAGTGAACCTATTGTATCAAAATGGACTATTGTTAGACAACGTTTACCCGATATTCTTGCTCTTAGTGGGACTTATAAACCATCGAGTATTCGAGCTCAACTTGTTCTACTCGTGGCTTTAATGAATAAACAAACACATGAACAAATGAATGAACAATATCAATTAATGAGAAATGAACAAAATGGCGTAATGTCACATAGAATGCCAGATAGTGTTACTATTAATACTAGTGGTCGTACTCGAGAAATTTGTTTAAAACGTATTCCATCACAACAAATGATTCATGTTGATACTGATACTTTAGCATTTTCAGTTCCAACACGTCAATTTATATTAGCTATAAGTCGTGGTAATACTCACGAAACAGCGGCAAAATTTTGTCCACCAGCTATAAGTGATATGTTAATTGATTTATCTAAAATCAAAATAATTGATGATCGTCGTCAATTTAAACGTGCACAATTTAAAATGCGTCTTGGTCAAAGTTTATTTTTCTTTGTATTTATATTTATTATTACAATGATGTTTGCACTTACTCTTAGTACAACAAATTTAATATTGAATGATGCTTGGAATAATCCAATACCAATAGCATCAGGAATATCTAATCAATCTTCAAACTCACCAACCGAAGATTGGCAAACCCGAGTGAAGAAACTTTTAACTTCAATTAACTCAACTTTAATTTCAATTAACTCTAATATGACTTCAGTTCACACTATTTTAACTTCACTTAACTCCACTTCGCGTAACTCCACTTCATCTTGGTAAAAATCCACTCCGATTTGATAAATCGAGTTTGTTTGAACACGATTCATTACCTATCTTTTCCTTTCAATAACAAATAAAATCAACAGGGGTTAAATCGGAACTGGAAAAAAATCACGAAATTCAACTTCACCTATTTTTTCAAAATTATGCTCCAACTCTAATTTGCAGTTGTCTATCTTCAAATCAAAATTAAAAATAAAGAGTTTTTCCATTAAAACAAACGGTGAAACTGAATTTTGGTGATTATATTTAATTTACAATTTTTTGTTTTAATTCTTAAGTTATATTTAATAATATCAATAGATATATTTTCTATTGATAGTACAGATATTTGAATGATTAAAAAGATTTACTTTTTTTTATTATTGTATTATTATTTTTCTTTCTAAATGAATTCTTCTAATGGATTGTTAAAAGTGTAATGAAACCAAGCGAAGTAATTAGTATTATTGCTTGAAAAGTATTGGTTTTTATTTTTATTTGTGTTTTTTGACGTGTGAAGTTTTAGAATATATTTTAAGTAGTTGGGAATTGAATTTGTTAAGATATACTTCTTCACTGTTTTAAGATTTCAATTCAGTCATTTATTCATTTCTCTATGTTAATTTCTTATCAAACTCATCTTTTTTCAGTTATTCGATATATGTGATCAACACTTTTCAATCTTTGGAGAAATCAAATGAAGTACAAAAGACAATTAACTATTTTCTCTCGTAGATATAGTTGTCTCTCCATGTTACAAAATAATCATGATCTATTTAGTATCTAACTGATAGATTCGTCTGAAAGGGACAGATTTTTTTCTATTAAATTCGCTTCTTAATTAAAAGCACCGAAGAAAGTTTAAGTTTGAAACATCTTTCATCATTTTCATATTCAAACCATTTGTACAAATTAAATTTTGGTACATTAACTACAAATATTGGTACTATAAATTTAACTTACACGATTGTGTTATTTTTAGATTTAATTGTATTGTAAAATTTCTTGATATACAAGATGTCTGAAAGTCATGACTATTTAAAAAATTCATTTTTCTTTCTGATTAACAAAGTAATATTAATAAATTTTTTCCGTACGATTCACATTTATAAGTACTGCTCAAAAATATTATCTTTGACATCAATATAAAAATGTCGTCATTTTACAACTTCTAAAAAATACTATGAAAAGTTTTTTTTGTTTTAATTAAATTGATATGTCTAGTTATTCAAATGATCTAGATTTTTAAGTGTTGTTTTATAAACGTTTGCCTTGAGATGTCCTTACAAAAAGAAGTCGAATGATGTTAAATCAATCCATCTCATCCAATCCACCTGTTACAAAAGATCTCATTGAGTCAACTACGGAGTGCCTTCGAGAGAATAGCATCTTCTAAAAGGCTAACAACTGCTGACATTTGTTTCTAGACAGATTGACCAGCTACATACTTCGAGAAGACAGTTCGTAATTGGCTTAATGACATCTTTAACAACAGATAGATTGGAAGAAATGGATCAACTTAACACTATTAGACTTCTGTTTGTAGGGACATCTCAAAACAAATGTCTATAAAACAACTCTTGAAAATCTAGATCATTTGAATAGCTCGACGAC